CTACTCTTGAACTCCTGACTTCAAGTAATTCTCCCACCTTGGCTTGTGAAAGTCCTGGGATTACAGATGTGAACTACTGCTCCCAGTCGAGAGTTTAGTTTTGTTTGCTAGTGGTGTTCTTGGTATCTTTTCATGCTTGAGGCTTTGGTGCTAGTGCTGAAGTATTACACTCACCATCCAAGGTTTACAGGACTTTTGTTTTAACATGGAACAGATGGAACAGTTTAGTTCTGCACCTTTGCAGGTATACAAAATGTGCCTACCAGGACTCTGCTTTATATCCATTGAAAGCAAGAAGTAATACAGTAAAACTTTGTCTGGCTAGAGGCTTTGAAGGAATGGAGTGTTCTGGTTGAATTCTATTAACTTGGAAGCATGAAGGTGAAAAAAATTCAGAACTTAATTTTCCTTTGAATGCAATTTAGAAATATAGCCAATGATTCCACTTTTCTTCTCTAGTAAGTTTGGACATTCTGATCTACTTGGTATTTTATTATAGAACTCCTAGTGTGCCTGAGACTTACATTGTGAAAATAATTTTATAAAACTTTAGCTATAAGAGGATGTAAATAGTCTTGTATGAGATCAGGCTGGACGAGAACTAATACTTGTAAATATACTTTTTAGACTAAACTTCTGATTGCCACTTGTTTTCTTATTGAACTCATAAAAATAAAACACATTGGATGGAGGGTGGGAATAGGAAGGAGAGTTATGTGTTTTAATTGTACGTCATTGTTTCATATCGAGATAGAACATATAGTAGCCTTGGCTTTGGACCTACAGAAGGAAACACATTTTTCTACCTGCTGTATGGCAGACACTCTTAAATACCTGGAGGGATGACTGCAGCACAGATTGCAAAGCCCTACTCCAGAGTTTCTGATTCACTAGGTCCAGGGTAGGGCCTGAGAATTTGCACTAAAAAGTTCTCAGGTGCTTCTGGTGCTGCTAGTACAGAGACTACATTACTGAGAACCACTCTTGTCTACTAACTGTAAATTGTAGAACTCTAGACAAAAGCTTAGTTTGGTCTGGGATAAGAAGCACACAGGCTATGGAGCAAATCATGAGAGATTCAACCCTTGATCCCAGCTTTGTGTGAAATTCAAGTAACAAGCAGTACACAGTGACATAACACAATTCTTAGTTTTCATGACTGCAAGTCATAGCCAAGTATCAAGTGAGAAATTTAGTTTCATTTGCAAGGCTTAGAGAGGACAGGTGATGCTAGAAAAACAGGCCTTGTATTTGTTTTAAAACAGTAAAGAGCTTTGAGAGCTTATTAAATTGAAAGCTTTTAAAATTTGTTTTGTATTTTATTTTATTTATTTTGAGATGGAGTCTCACGCTGTCTTCCAGACTGGAATGCAGTGGCATGACCTTGGCTCACTGCAACCTCCATGTCCCAGGTTCAAGTGATTCTCCTGCCTCGGCTTCCTGAATAGCTGGGATTACAGACACCCACCACCATGCCTGGCTAGTTTTGTATTTTTAGTAGAGACAGGATTTCACCATGTTGGCCAGGCTGGTCTCAAACTCCTGACCTCAGGTGATCCACCTGCCTTAGGCTTGCAAAATGCTGGGATTACAGGCATGAGTCACCACATCTGGCCCAAAAGCTTTGTGTTTTTACAGATATTAGACATATTTCTTGTTTAAGAAAAAAAATCTTAACAATAACCTAGGAGAATAAGAGAAACATTTTTCTAAAAAAAAGAAATCATTGTGATTACTTTGTCTTATTAGAATGTTAGATAATATAGTCTACTTCATTAATCATCAAGCATGCTATGGATTTTCCATTTTTATAGGATCTGTATCTCAGTTAAGGTAATACTGGTAATTTTTGTGCTGTATTTGAAGATGAAAAATATAGGCCAAAATCATAGACCTTGCATAGAAGCTGGGTAATGAAGACAGTTCTGGAGGCACACATAGATACACACACAGAGACACACATATATAGAGAGAAAGTATACATACATAAATTTTTTTAAGTTTTAAAGGTTTTAAAGCAAAAGCTGGCCCTTCCCCTCTCCCAGAGTGGGCGGGGACAGCGGTTGCATGGGTAGCTTTCCTTGTGAGCCACAGGTCCCTCTGGACACACTGTTGCCTGGCCACGCCCCCTTTCCCTTTCATCTTTCTCATTGATCAATGGGCTTGGAGCATTAAGGCCACGCCCCTATTCTGCATTCTACTGGGGCCCTAGTTACGCCTCCCCTGGCTCAGTCCCACAGCTGCCTGTTAGGCGACTGGAGGTGTTGATCAGTGCTCACTGGGATTTCACTGACGTGGCCCCAACCCTGCCTCCCTCTCCACCCAGCGGTGGCAGAAGAAACTCGAAAGAGCAGATTGGCTGCAGCAAAGGAAAAGGTAAAAATGCACCAGGTCATGGCCCCCTAACCCAGCCACAGATCCCCTCTGACGACCAGACTGCCAGGATCCATACCACTCCTGAGGCACACCGGACTGAGCCCCCCAACCCCGGCGCCTCTGGGATCCCCCCACCAAAGTCTTGTGAGTCAGCCCCACCCTTCAGCAAGCAGCCCAGTCCCTGACCTCGCGAATCACTCTATGGTGACTTTGGGTGGGTGACTCCTGGGGCTTCCTGCTCCATTACTGGGCCCTCACCTCCTGCTGCCCCAAACTCGACCTCCCTGGGCTCTTTGGGCTCACGTCTCCAAGGACCTGGGTCCCGCAGCCCCAGGCCCCACTCTGGCCAGTTGTCCCTGGGAGACTTTGGGCTGGTGACTCCTGGGGCTCCCTGCTGCAGACTCTGCCCTCCCCTCCTACTGCCTCAAGGTCGACCTCCCTGGGCTCTTTGCACTGGCATCTCCAAGGACCTGGGTCCCAACCCAGTGTTTCCCTCCCCCATCGTAGAGTGGCAATGCGGACATCGTGCTGATGTGGTCCCTACCCCCGACCAGGAGGTGTGGAATGTAATGAGGTCACAATCTGCCTAGGAACTGTCATTACTGCAAGACCAGCCTTTGATCTTACAATCCAGTCCCCTAAGCGTTGTCACCCCATTTCTGGTTCCTCTGGTAACAGCACAAATTTCCAGCTGGAAGGGGAATGGAGACTATGGGACCCAGGAGCAAGAGGTTTCAGGCTGCCTCACTCCCTTCACATAGACACAATGGGGAAAGCCTACACTTCCCCCGTGAGTGCAAAACATTAACAGTATCTCTGGGTGGCAATGGGGGATGGGTTTGGCTTGGTTTTTCTCCCAGGCTTCTACTTTCCAGGCTTCTACTTCTATTTTTTTCTGAGTTCTCCACCTCATATTCTAATTCTCCATGGTTCTGGGACCAGACTGCCCTTCATTCAGTGGTCTCTGAAGTGAGATTTGCTCATCTTCTGTGGAATAGATCTTGGGAAACTGAACTTGACAGCTGGAATCTTCCTCATATTATCTGAACCTGGGGTACTCTGAGTGCCACAGGATAAATGTGGGACATCTTTCTGAAGCATCAGTTTCCCTTGATTCTCTTGAGATCAAGAGAAAAAAACATTAAGGTATTTAGGGATGACAGTCACATAGGTTTCTAAGAGTATACCAGACTTCTCTCTGAAATGAGGTTTGGGTTGTCTTCTTTCTGATAAACTCCCAGATTTAACAAAAAGGCTGCCTTCTGCCATGAGGACACATTGATATAAAAGTTTGAGAGGTACTGTCACACTTCTCCACACTAACAGACATGTGAGGATGTATGACTCTAAACCACATGACATACAATTCATGCCACTTAATGTTTACTTTTCTGCCTCTGCCTCTGGTTTTGGTCCCTGGCGGCTGCTGATTCTTGGCAAAACCCCAGAGCTTAGAGTCAGAAGACTTGAGTTTCAAAGTTTCACTATCGCCTTTTTCTTTTTTGTTTTTTTCTAGCCATGATACCAATCCCTCTTGGTCACTAAATGATTGTGACAACACCTTGTACAGTTGTTGGTATCATTAAATCAGATGGTATATAAGAGTATTTTGTAAAAACTGTAGAGGAAGATGTGGCTGTAGGGGCTGATAGTTCTCATGAGTATTATTGCTCTTCTTTCCCACAGTTAAAAGAATATTGGCAGAGAAACAACCCTGGTGTTCCAGCAGGAACAAAGAGGAACAGGAAACAAATGGCAGTAGCCCTGAGACAGCCACTTCTGGTGGTTGCCACTCACCTGGGAATGGAGTCTTGGCTGGCCAGGCTCCTGGGGACAGGGGCCCAAGGGGCAGTACAGGGTAATTGTTAAGATTGTGGATGGACTGTTGGGTACTGGTTAAGAATTCTGGGTTTGGCTGGGCATGATCGGCCACGCCTGTAATCCCACGACTTTGGGAGACCGAGGCAGGAGGATCATGAGGTCAGGAGATAGAGACCATCCTGGCTAACAAGGTGAAACCCCTTCTCTACTAAAAAATACAAAAAAAGTTAGCTGGGCACATGGTGGGTGGCACCTGTAGTCCCAGCTACTCAGGAGGCTGAGGCAGGAGAATGAGTGAACCTGGGAGGGAGGCCTTGCAGGTGAGCCGAGATTGCGCCACCACACTCCAGCCTGGGAGAAAAAGCAAGACTCTATCTTAAAAAAAAAAAAAAAAAAAAAAAAAAAGGAATTCTGGGTTTGAATCCTGCCTCTCCGACTGCTAGGGATATGATTTAGGGCAAGTTGCTTGAACTCTTTGGGTCTCTCTTTTTACATCTGTATAATAGAGGTGGTATTTTTTTACTTCCATTTGTGAAGTTTAAATAAGATTTGTTATTGTTGTTTTTATGTTAATCCCTAGTACATGGCCTGCTGTAAACACCCAGGACACCCAGAATATGGTCATTGCTGTTTGATTTTCCCCATCCCCAGTCTCAAGGGGAAGCCAGGACAATGAGAACAGCCACTTGCCATCAGGACTCACTGAAAGGGCCCCAGGGTGGGATGGTGGGAGATAAGAACCATGAGAGAAGTTTGCACAAAAGAGTTATGGGACAAAGGGCCCAAGATAGGCAGAAAAGAAAATGTTGCCAGTTGATGGGGAAGAAAGGAAGTCAGAGGGCTTAGACATTGAGGGGGACAGAACATCTCCATGTGCACTCTCATCTCTTGCAGTCAGCAAGAGGTATCCACGGGGAGGGCCCTACATCATCTGCTACCCTGAAGGATCTGGAGGTAAGTGACTCTGGGCGGAGGTGCAGTGACCCTGCAGGCCAGCCCTCCAGCCTCCTCCCTCTGCCAGCTGAGACAGCCCACACACACCCCAGCCCTAATGATTGTTCTATCTCTCCCCCCACTCCTCCTCCACCTCCTCCTCACTGCATGTACCTCAGAGCCTGTGCCAAGAACTAGCAGTAGTCCTGGGCTCGAGGTCCGTAAAAATCAGTTAACTGAATAACACCATCAAATCTTTGGTAAGAATACAGTGGGGTCCCCTGATTCCACACTGCCAATCCTGGGCTCGTTTCCCCTTGGGGTCCTGAAGAAAGGGGCTGGGGGACCCTGGTTCCAAGTACAAAATGGGAACTGGGGCACCCAGGCCTCACCTAGAGGGACCCCAGAGCATGCAGCACGGCTCTTCTTTTACTGCCCTCTTTGCCGACTCTCTCCTCTCCAGACACCCCTGCTCCAGTCCTTGCTACACACGCCCTGGGGTTTTTGCCTCTCGGGGAAGTGCTGGCCTGACTGGTTGTCAGGGGCCCCGTATTTCTGCTGTGACTTGGTCCCTAATTTGCTGTTTGATTCTGGACAAGCCACCTCTCCTTTTTGGGTTCGTGTTTCCAGAGGAGGTAGTGAGTATCAAAGGTCTCTGTTAACTCTGAGAGCCTGAGATTTAAAGGCCCCCTTCAATGGAAATCTCAGCACCAAGGGCTCCTGTCTGTCCTTTTTCATCCTATATGTGCTGTGAAGAACCGTACCTGGTCCGTACGTGCTCAGTAAATGTTTATTGAATGAACGCACTTTTCTAAATCACAAGCTGGCAGAAGGGGCAGCCTTTCTCAAACTCCATCTCTAGAGGTTTATGTTACTCTCCTCCCAAGAGATTCCAGGTTCAGACTGAGTTCTGTGGCTGTGGGCAAAAACCAACAAAGACCCAAATCCTCTGTCCTTGGGAGTTTCAGGAGAGTTTACCAGTTCGTGTTCCCATTATGTCTGAGAACTTTGCCTTTAAAATCCATTGCTGGCCCCTGCCTACTCTTCCTGGTCTGAGGAATAGAGCTGAGGGGGCCACCCTCCATCACCTTAATTTGACTCTCCCCAAAGAAACAACAGAAGAAACAAGTGGAACATCAGCTGGAAGTAGTAATGTGATTTCTTTGTTTCCTTGCGACATGACTGCTGGGTTTGGGGGGCACTCAGATGTAGAGGCCCCAGTCTCGTATCACCCACTCCCAGCCTGGGGAAGAAGGCTCACCCCTCAGATTCCACCCCATCCCCACAGGGTCCCTGATAACCTGGTTCCATGGGTGGGCCTGTCCTGGGGCATTGGTGGCATTCTGGGGGCATGTCTCTTGCTGTGCCATCTCTACCTCCCCCTGGTAAGAGCTCTGTCTTCCTCTTCCTACAGGAAAAGAAAGCAAACAATGAGAAACAAAGCTGAACGGGAGCTAGAGGTGAGTGGAGGCTGTGCAGTTCCCTCCTGTCCTCCGGAGAATGTTTCTTTCCTTCTCTTTCAGCACTTGCTTGGCTTTTCTCCCAAAGGTTCAAATCCAGAGATTGAACACACAGAAAGGGAAACTAAATACAGACCTGTATCACATGAAACGTTCTCTCAGATACGATGAAGGTAGGAATCTGGGCACCCTGTCATCCTTCAACCTGGCACTTTGACATGTCTTTAGCGGGAGTCCTTTGGGCCCCATCTCAACTCTCTCATTACAGATGAATCCAAGGATGTGGCCGGCTGCCTGCAACATTCATTGCAGCGTATAGCAGAGTTAGAGCAGGCTCTCTGCTGTCACCACCACACAGGAGAAGAAGGAGATCAGTGTGAGTTCAACCATTTGTCCTGTCCCCTGAGAGCCTGGCTTCACAGATGGAGGAGTGAGCCTAAAGCTCCCTTTTGCAGGATGGAGTGTCCTGCCCAGAACGCAGCATGGCCTTTTCCCACTGCTTTTGTGTGTGGTTATTAGAGATAGCCTGGGGCTGAGTCAGCTGCTATGGGTGAGTTGAGGGGCACTGTGGGGACTGAGCACTGGACGCAGAGCTTGGAGGCCAAGCTCTTACCTGGCTGTGGTCTTGGCCAAGTCCTAGATGGGGTATTGGGTACTTGTACTACAAAAGTACAGAAGAGTATCTTTAATATGTTACTATTTCTGTAGAGAGAGGAAACGTGTGTGTGTGTATGTGTGTGTGTGTGTACACACTATGATAATATACATAACACATGTCTGCAAGGGTTCATAAAAAATTAAGGAGACAGCAACAGTGTGGCTGGGAGATACTTCCCTTCTGTACCTTCTGAGTTTTGGGCTATGCGAATGTATCATCCTTTCAAAAAGTGGACAAAAGATTAATCTTCCCCTTCCTATCTGTGCCACCACCTCCAGCAAGAAAAATGGGCTTAGAGAATCAGATAGACCTGGGTGTTCAAATCCCAGCTCTGCCTAAGTGATCTTAGACAAGCACTTAACCTCAAATACTCCATGTTTTTTTCATCTACACAATAGAGGTAACCATAGTAACTGTCTCCTATGTTGGTTGCAAGGATTAAATGGGATTGCTAGCATGGTACCTGGTGAAGCACTCCATAAAGGTTCAAACAGTGGTAATAATAACAGTAATAACAATAGCAATATTATCTGATCTCTCTGGGCCTCCGTTAGCCAGCTGTAAATTCGATCTCTTTCCCTGTCCCTTCCAACTTGACTGAGTTCTTTTAAAAACCAGACCATGGGCTTGGAAATGTCTTGATCTTTACTGACCAAGTTGTATATTGAGCCTAGCCCTAGCCCTTTTTAGGGGGCAGTGTGTGGAATGGCCCAGGCTCCCCAGATTGAAACTTCTCACTCTTCACCATCCAGTTCTCGAGCCTCAGTAAAGCACTTATTGAGTGGCAGTTAGAGCAGTCCATACAGGAGAAGGCACGGTTGAAAGCACACCTGACATGGGTGAGGTTTTGCAGAGGGAGGGATGTGGAAGATAACCCCAGGTGGCCAGGAGCAGGTGAGGACCAGTGATAGCCCTTCTTAACTTCTCTGCCCATTCTTGCAGTTGAAGGAGTCGCTTAAACAAGTCCAGCTAGAGAGAGATGAATATGCTCAACATATAAAAGGAGAGCAGTGGCAGCAGAGGATGAGGAAAATGTCGCAGGAGGTGAGATCTGACCCTTCAGCCCCCCGCCCTCCACCTTAGATAGGTCACTGGATCTTTCTGGGCATCTGTAAAGTGGGAATAGTACAGCCGGAGGTGGTCATGGGTCTGGGCTTTGTGGAGGTGGGGGCAGAGAGGGAGATGGTAGCCTGTCCAGCCACCAGCCCCTCTCTCCAGGGCCATTTTCCACTGTGCTTTGGGCAGGTTTGCACATTGAAGAAGGAGAAGAAGCATGATACATGTCCGGTAGAGAAGCGGGAGAGGAGCTTGTCCAAACTCAAAAACCAGAGGGGTAAGATGGGGCTGGAATGACCTAGGAGCAGGCCTGTCATCAGAGGGCCCTGGGGGTGGCTTAGAGTGCCCCAGGGAGGTGAGTGGATGGAAGGGCTTTGAGGCAGAGGGAAAGAGGTCTGTGCCAGGGGATGGCAAGTCTTGTCATCTCCATGAGCCTCAATGTCCCCATCAGCAAAGAGGGCCCAGTGTCAGCCACCCACAGTGCTCTCTATCTGAAAGTGGCTTGGAAGATTGGCTACCATCTGGGTGCAGGGAATCATTTGCAGTGAGTCCAAGTTTGGGGAGCCTGAGAGGAGCTATGCACCAAGAGGAGGGTTTTTTTTTTTTTTGGGCAGGGGGGAGTCCAGAGTCCCTTATTGTCTGCTTCCTTTCTCAGCTGAACCCCTGCTCCCAGATCCCCCAGCAGTGCCCTCCGAGGTGGAGCTGCAGAACCTCAGGAAGCAACTGGAGAGAATGGCAGGAGAACTCCAAGCCCAGATGGAAAACAATCAGCGCATAAGTGTCCTGAACTGGGGGCAAAAAGAGAGGCTTCAGGAGCAAGAGAAGAGGCTTCAGCAGCTAGCCGAGCCACAGAGTGGCTTCGAGGAGCTGGTGCGTTGCCCCACCTGGGGAGCTTGCCCTCCTCCCTAGCCCTCCAGGCCTTTGTTTCCCCACCTGTAAAATGGGGCAGTGTAGCCCTCATGTGAAATGTTACTTCTAAAGGCACCCGTGAGCCAGAGCTCTGCTCAGGTGGTTGTGGGAGAGAGGAGATGATTTTTCTAACCTGCCTCCACCCTTCCCAGTGCCATGGGAGGCAGACACCAAGTTCTAGGGTCTCCAGCTGCAGTGGGTGGCTGCTGATTGCCTCTGTCTGTCCAGAACAATGAGAACAAGAGCACACTGCAGTTGGAGCACCAGGTAAAGGAGCTGCAGGAGAAGCTGGGTGAGGTGAAGGAAACGGTAACCTCTGCCCCATCCAAGAAGGGCCGGGAAGCAAGCACCAGCCTCTGGGGAGGGGAGGTGCCAGGCCAGAGGCAGCTCCAGCCTGGGGGCAGGTGATGCCAGCACCCTCAAGGGCAGTCCTGTGACTGTTTCTTGCTTCCTGCCTTCTGACTTTTAGAGGTGGGTAGCCCTGGGCTCCTCCCAGGTCTGGACATCATCATCCCAGCTAGAGGCATGGAGCCCCCAATCACAGGGGAAGAGACAGTGGTATAAGAGGCTCCTTATGCCAGACATGGTTGCTCATGCCTATAATCCCAGCACTTTGGGAGGCTGAGGCAGAAGAATCACCTGAGGTCGGGAGTTTGAGATCAGCCAGGCCAACCTGGTAAAACCTCATCTCTACTAAAATTACAAAGAAAAAATAGCCGGGCGTAGTGGCGCATGCCTGTAATCCCACCTACTCAGGAGGCTGAGGCAAGAGAATCACCTGAGCCCAGGAGGTGGAGGTTGCAGTGAGCTGAGATTGCACCACTGCACTCCAGCCTGGGCCACAGAGTGACACTCTGTCTCCAAACAAAACAGAAAGACTCCTTAGATTAAAACTGGATTCCAGCCTTGGTTCCACTGGTCACCATTCAAGTACTTTGCATCTCTAAGTCTCTGTTTCTTTAACTTCAAAAGGAAGTTAGCATTTTCCTTACAGAGGTGCTGAGGATTAAATGACATAATACATGGCAAACACTAGGGATGTAGCACACCTAGCAGATGGTGGTTGGCTCCCACTGCTTTTCCACCAGTCTGTGGCCTACAGTTTAAATGGTGAGAAGAGGGTATGAGATTCGAGGCTGGGGAAGGAGGCATGGGGTTCTAGGAAAGGGAGGCCGTCACTTAGGCCTGGAGCAAGGGGCCAGGGGCCTGGGCAGGCAATAGAGCCCCAGGGTCCTTGCTACCCTATTAATGGGCCCAAAATCTGGAAGCCAGCCACCACATGCCCTCATGCCCAGGGTCTTCCTGCAGGTGGAGCTGAAGAGCCAAGAGGCTCAGAGTCTGCAGCAGCAGCCAGACCATTACCTGGGTCACCTGCAGCAGTACGTGGCCACCTATCAGCAGCAGGTGTCCGCCTATCAGCAGCAGACCTCTGAGAAGGAGGTGCTGCACAGGCAGTTACTGCAGCAGACCCAGCTAATGAACTACCTGCAGCAGCAGGAAGCTTGGGGCAAAGTGGTGGCCGAGACGGCCCACCAAAAGTTGCAGGACACCCAGGGCAGGGAGCTGCTGAGGACGGGCAGTGAGGGGGATGACCTGGCAAACTCCGTGCCTTCTCACTCTTTCCTGGGCCCTTAGGAGAATCTAGAAGCTGCTAGGCTGCAGAACCAGCAGCTAAAGGCCCAGTTGAGCCTCATGAGGGCTCTCCCTGGGGGAAGGCATGGGAGATTGCTCAGAGGAAGAGAAGAGAGCCCCAGGAGGAAGGGGGAACTGTTAGCAGCATAGGATTGAGGAGTTGGAAAAGACCTTTAGAACAGCTGGTCATTATGCTGACCAGGTGCCTGCACTAAGTTCGGCATCAATATGGTGACCACCTGGGAGCGGGGTCCACCAAGTTGCCTAAGGATGGCTGAACTGGCCCAGGTCAGAAAGGGAACAGGTCAGAACTCCCACACCAACCAGTAGTGGGACTGTTCCTGGGCAGTATAGCAAGATCTTGGTTCTTTGAAGTAAAAGTAAAGAACAGCAGCTTATTCCTCTCTGGGTAGGGACTGGCTCAGGGTTATACAGTGATGGTGGAGGTAGAGGTGGGCCCACAGTACCTCCCTTGTTGGGTTGTCTGAGAACCCCTCTGGCCAACCCCCACAGGAGATGGAGGAGGACATCTGGACAGTGAGGAGGAGGAGGCACCTCAGCCCATGCCAACCGTCCCGGAGGACCTAGAGAGCTGGGAGGCCATGGTGAGCCTGACTCCCCCTGCACCCATTTTGCCATCTTCTTCTGTGCTCCCTCCAAGACCCCTTTATGCTCTTGGTTTCCCTGCCTTCTGATTTCTCTGGACCCTCACCCCATCTGGGAGCCAGTGGTCAGACACCATTTCACCTGTGACCAACAGCTGCACTTTCTGAGGCCCCAAGGGAAGGGGCTGCGCTCCACCTCTCTGCCCCATTTGTTCTGTGTATGCCCCCACAAGAATGCTCACCTCTTGCCCTCAGGTGGCATTTTTCAAGTCCGCTGGAGCCAGTGCCCAGGAGGAGCAGGCACAGTTCCGAGAGCAGGTGACAGAGCACAGAGTGTGCTGCCAGTGCCTGGCTCACCTGGTGGCCTCTGCCCAGCAGGAGCCAGAAGCAGTGATCCCAGCCCCCGTGACTGGTGGCGAGTCTGTGAGTGGGGAGACCCACCAGGCCCTGCAGGAAGTCATGGAGAAGCTGGAGGTGAGTGAGTCCTGGCATGGGCCAAGAAGGGCAGGGGTGGGGCAGGTCGCTGCCAAGATATGACACCATTATTTTGGCTCCAGAGCGGCTTTATGGACCTCCTGGAGGAGAAGACGTACCTGAGTGAGTTGGGGGAGAAACAAGAACTTCGATTCATACAGTACTGGAAAGACAGACACCATCAGTGAGCAGGAGGCCAGGGCATGGCAGGAGGAGCTGCAGGGCCATCAGAGGGGCCTCAGCGTCTGAGCCCTGTCCTCCCACAGGAAAGTTCATCACCTTATAATAGAGCCAGGGGGTAGTGCCAAAGATGCGGCACCGGGAGGAGGACTTCATCAGGCTGGCCCAGGACAGCAAGGAGATGAAGGTAGGGTGTGCAACATCTCTGCGGGGGTGGGGGTTGGGGGTGGGCGTGAGGGTGGGCACCGGCAGCAGCATGACAGCTGAGGACCCCTCCCTCCAGGTGAAGCTGCTGGAGCTGCAGGAGATGATGCTGTGGCTTGTGGTGACTACAACAAGGAGCACAGCAAATTCCTGGCCGCTGCCCAGAACCCTGCTGATGAGCCCAGTCCAGGAGCCCCAGCGCCCCAGGAGCTTGGGGCTGCCAACAAGCATGGTGGTGAGTAGAGTCCTCAGGCAGGATGGGCAGGCAGGGGCAGGGGAGGCTCGCACTGTGCTCAGATCCCCGCCTCCCTCTCCCCAAAGATCTTTGTGAGGTGAGCCTCACCGACAGCGTGGAGCCTGCGCAAGGAGAGGCCAGGGACGGTTCTCCCCATGACAACCCTACTTCACAGCTAATTGTGTAGGACCACCAGGAGCACCCAGGCTTGGGCATCAACCCCTGTGTGCCATTCTTTTGCTGGATTTGCCTGCCGAGAAGAAGGAGATAAACATCACCATCATCAAAGAGTTGGTCAAGAAATTTTTAAAAAGGAAACAAAGTTATGAGGTCAGTCTCCTATACAATTCATTTACTTCATTTGAATGTTAGAGAAACTCATGATTATTTGTGTTTCTAATTTATAGTTTAAGTTTATTTGTAAAAAGTTAAAGGAGAGTGGGTCTCCGTGGCTTTCACTGATGTTCACTCTGGCATCCTTTAGCATTTTTCTTTTTTAATTTCATAATTGTAGGTCATTAGCATGCATATCGAGTTTGCCCTTACATGGTGGGAGGTCAAACACACAAAGACCCACTGTTTGCACAAAACTATTGTTACTGGTTTGGAATAGCCTGCCATGCTTTTTTAATGTTATTGCAGCACGTATATTCATTACAGAATTTAATTTGCTTATGTTCTGCTATTGTTTGACCTAATCTTAGTCACAGTGAGCTCTTCATTAGCTCAATATGTGGTTTGCCCTCAAGTGTGCACTGTTTATTACTTTGTAATGTGCCACTGTGAGTACTGACATTTAGAGTTGTTTAAAGGCTGAGAACTGGAAACAGCCTTTCCTCCATTTTCTGTGTATTGGTGACGGGAGTAATAACATTTTGGAGGAGCTTTTTAAATCTCACAGAAGAGGAAAGTGGCCTGCTCTGGCAGGTGTGTGCAGGATAGAGTGCGTTTCATTTGTTCCGGTGCCAAGAATGAGCGCTGTACTATGGTAGTTCCCTCAGGATTTGTATGTGCTCTGGGCTCATGAAGATATTGCACCATGAGCTGCAGCAGTTGTGCTCTTTCTCGATGACCTAAAAAGGGATTATTTCTGAGGAATGAAAGCTCCCATCATTAACTGTGGATGTGGAAAACCTTTCCTAGCTTAGAGCATTTGTATCTATAATACATTTAAAAGAGTTCATGTTACCTGTTTTAATCACATGACTACATGTCCCAGTACACAAAAGGGCATTGGTTGGCATTCTTCTTAATGTATTTAGTAAAGATCATAAGAAATCCTTTAAGAGTTTAAATGTCCCTGGAACAGGTATACAGGCTCTAGTCAAGGATGACTTAGAGTGAAGGAAAGCTGTGTGACACCTGGCATTCCTCTCTGTTCAGGGAGCGTCTTTGAGGCTTGAAGATTGATTTTACCATCTAGATCTCTCTGGCTAATACTTATTCTTCAACCACCTTGGTTACTCTGACATAGGAATTTACTTCTTTTCCTTTAGTGGAAAACACTTTAAAAAATAATAACAAACATTATTATAAACTAATATGTGTGAGAGTACTTAGTTAAAACAAAAAGAAGTTTTAATAGACAGTATTATACTATCTTTGAAAGTCAAGGAGAAGTTTATGCAACTTAAAATGTTTACAAACTGCAGTGCAATCTACTGTTTGTGAATGTCAATGTATTATCAGGAAACATGTCTATACAATCACAGAGTTATATTTCCTCACAAACTTCTTTACGAAGGGTGAACTATGTCCTGTTCTTGACTTTTATTTTCTGAACTTGCCACTTTTGCCTTCTTTGAGTTCAGTTTAAAGACAGTTACTTTAAGTCGACTGGAATTGTACCACTGTTAATTAGCCACATTATTTGGTCTAATGTTTTTTCTTTATCATTCTGAAACTGGCTTTATCCAATACAGTGATAAATTATTTCAAAGGTACTTTTATCATTGAAATCACTTCACTTTTACCCTGATAAATATCAATGACTAGGAATGACCTTCAGATAGCATTTAGCATCTGTAACCAATCTGACAATAAAGTGTTCATCAGCTGCCTATGGATTAAATCACATACTGGCATATTTAAGCTGAATGTCAGTCTGGAAAATAAATTTACCATATTAACTGAAATACCACTCTTTGTGTAGGCATTTGTCGTATATTTAAGAGAAAGCTAAAAACAATGGAAATCGTATGACAATAACTTAAGTCTTTCTTCAAAGTGCATGCAGTCTTTTGTGATACCTCATTCAGCCAAGTATTTGTGCTCTACCTCATTCAGTATAAGGTCACTTTTGATTTGCTTAGAAGGCAACATTGGAAGGTTAGAGTTTATCAGAAACATAGAATTTTTAAATGTGAGTTCAACAGAATAAATTTGAATTTCTGTAGGAAGAATCAAAACACCTATTTAAAGATTGCAATATATAATAATTATTTTTAAAGTATTTGATTAAACCTGCGAGGTTTTCCAGAAATGGAAAAAAAAAATAGTTCTAAAAGCAAAGATGATTTTTAGAAAATTTGAAAATGTAAATCAGCCCTATCCATAATATAGTTTCTCTAAAACTTTATCTTAGTCATTTAAAAAAATATAACTATTAAAAAAGTAACTGCTATCTTAACGTTCTGAAATAAGTTGAAACATTTTAAAATATGAATGCTGTAATTTAAAAGAAACGGTGGGAAGGAAAAGTAGAGAGAGAAATGCCAGTTCCAGTCCAAAGCTTTAGTTGCCAAGTTTTCTTAGAATAAATTTACCAATTTATGAATTATTGTAAACAGAATGTATAATGGAAATACTGAAAAACTTTTGCCTAAAGTGGCATTATTGACTGCTGGTGTGATGCTACTGTAATGTAATAAGCTATTAAATTGTTGCAAAGTGCTGTTTTTGCCTTAAAATTTTATTTTGTGTGTCTTGAAAACTATAGTATTAAACGTATTGATATTGAGCAAATACTGGCCATGCTTGGCATGAGATACCCTTTCATTTTTGCAAAACTGTAATATAACTATGCAAGTGTTTATTAAAAGAACACAAAAAAGTTATGGGATTAAAAAAATTATGGGGTAAAAAAGTTATGGGATTAAAAAGTGTTAAAAAGTTGTGGCAAAAAAAGTAGAAAATGTTTTATGAAAAGTTACAAAAAAAGTTATGAAAAAGAAGTCACGGGATTTTTGAAAAAGTCATGGGATAAAAATAAAAATTAAAAGCAGGCCCCTGTCAGCAAAGCCTGGAGAAGTGGGGCTGGAGTCTCCACCGCCACCATGTCCCTACCACCCCTTCCCAGTCACCCCGTTACAATTAGGGTAGCAACACACGACCTCTGTCTAATGGGGAAAGACAAACAGACCCTTTGCCACCTTGACCAGGGCTGAGTCCTTAAATTTCTGAATGATGATGATTGTTATTTAAGAGCCAGAGGCTAGTGGAGTTGGTTTGTTCGGAGGAAGCCTGATGGCCTCCTTACTCTCACCATAGCAAGTTTTCCCTCAGGGGGTCTCTCATCTTCCCATTCAGAGAGGTAGCTGAGGCAGAACAGTGGGGCAAACTGTGGACCAAGTGAGGGCACAGGCTGCTGGGGTGGCCCCCTTCCCCAATGTACATATTGTGTCTGCATAATGTTTTGTATATTCCAGAGGGTAGGGCCACCCCTGTATCGTACCTAGCAGAGGTTGGAGCTGGCACATGGGGAGGAGGGTCTAATAATTATTTGTGGCTAGAAAACTTATTTATTGCTGGCATAGGACAGAGGAAGGAGGCGGGAAGGGGGTTGTGGCTCCCTGGTGATTCGACTCCTGTTAACTTTGCTTTTTATTTGGAATAAATGGATTTAGTCATACCGCTCGGCCTGGTGTGTTCCCATTTCCCTCACTGGGTCCTGGAGTTTGTGCCACTGAAGGAGGAGTCCCAGTGTCTGAACATGTCCAGCTGGGCTGTTGTGGACCTTTCAGGCGTGTTACCTGTATGCTGCCTGGTGTCACCTAGGGGATTTCACCGGGACTACCATGGCACCTAGGGGGCGCAGTCTGGCCCTGACAGACAACAGGCTCAGAAGCCTGATCTAGCCATGGCCGGGAAGACAGGTACCAGCACCTAAGGGCACTGACCTCCACCCACCCCAGGCATCTTCCGTTCCATCCCCTCGCCTCCCTCGCCTGTCTGCACCTGGTGGCCTGTTCCATCTGTCCCTCCAGAGTGTCCGCTGGCTGCCTCACAGGCTCCCTCCAGGCTGAGTTCATGGCCCTGCCCCCTGTTGGCCAGAGCCGGCTTCACAGGATAAGAGCCAGCTAAGCTCCAGGGGCTTTCCAGGAAAAGTGTCTCTTAAGGGTATGGCCTTTTCACCGCTCCCAAAAGCACCCTAGAAATGGCTTGGCCTTTCCCTTCCTCTGAGCTCCACAGAGAACGCAGTCAGCAGAGGACACATTTCCCCGTCATCCAGAAATGGGTTTGATTCTCAGCCGAGGGACAGCAGGACTGGTAGAGACTGTCAAGCCACACAGCTGCCTGCACAGGGAGGGATGGCAGGGGCTGGCTGTCCATAGGTCGGGCAGGACAGGGAGGTTCTCTCGAAGTGGTGCACTTTGGAGGGGCAATGTCAGGGGACAGCTTTCTCTTGTTGGGCCACAAGAGTCCAAAAGGACAGCACGGTGACTGATTCCCAGCACTAGAGGCGAGATGGTCAGTCACATGTAGGTGTACGTGTGTGTGTGCGTATATATATATTTATATTATAGGTATTTATACATATTTATATAGATGTGTGTGTGTGTGTGTGTGTGTGTGTGTATATATAGGTATTTATAGATATTTATAGACCAGGGCAGGGGTGTACCACAGAGTGGGCACAAGTTTTCAGCAATGGTCACACCTGGATGTGTCCGCTCACCACGACAACAGACTAAGTCACAGATGTAGGGGGCTGGCTTTGGGGCTGGGGGAGCCACTGTCGAGTCACACAACAGCCACTCAGGCAGGCTTGGAAAGGGAGGCTTCTGAGAAGAGGAGGGATCTGTTTAGAGGTCAAAGGGGTGCCTGGGCTCTGAGGACGGGATGGTCTTGCCTGACCCGATCGGCTGGCAGTTGGAGAGAAACCAGAGAGAAAACAGGAGAGAGAAAAGTGAGCGGAGAGCTGGTGAGGTAAGTGCAGAGCACAGATGTGCCACAGCAGCTGTGGGAGGGCCAGGGAGGGGAGGGCGCAGGTGCGGGTGTGGCAAGGTTCCTGGAAAAGAGGGGCTGAAGGGGAGAGGGGAGGAAGATGGAGGAGCCGGAGCTTCACAGGTAGTGCCTGGGAGCTGCAGCGGCCCTCCCCACCCCACGCACGCTGGCCTCTTCCACAGCACCCAGGCAGTGCACCCACCGTTCAGACCAGTGCTCAGCCCATCGGCCTTCCCGCTTCTCTGGTCACCCTGTCTTCCAACCCACTGGCCCTGGGCCACCTCTCGCGTTTGGGAGCCCAACGCAGCAGCCACAAGGCCTGATAGAGAAGGAACACTGCTTGCACCAGGACTATGAAGCTAAAAGGGATGGATGGCTGGGGTGATCGCCGGAGCCCCCTCTGGGCAGTCAGAAAGCCCAGGACCCTCTGAAGGGACCCTGGGGAAGGCAGGGAGGGCAGGCAGCCGGATGCCACTGGCTATAGACTTATAAGTCTAAGAGGGGAGCCTCAGCTTTTTGGGGGTTGCAGGTTGCATAAGTGAGGCTGGGCCCTTCCTGCTGGGAAAAGCAGAACAGGGAGAGTCCATGGCAAGGGAGATGGGCGGGCTTGCTGGGCAGAGCTCAGCCGGGCCAGCAGCCACTGTGGTCCCCTTGGCTGAATAGCAGAGGCCACCTCTAGGAGCAACAGGCCAAGGTGCGTGACTCTGCTGGCTGGCGGTAGTGCATCAGAGGGGGCCAGGGACCCTGCATTCAGTCACAAGCTAGCAGCCATGATGGTACCTGGGAGGGAGAGAAGAGGGCTGTGTGTCCCTGCCTGGCCTGTGAGGTGTGTTGTGGGTTGATCATGTGTATGGGACTCTCGAGGTTTTATCCTCAATCACCACGGAATTGCCGACAGATAGAAGAGGTGAGACCCTGACTATCACTCCTGCTCTGCAGTGGATTTGGCTCTCAGCACTCCCAGGCTGGGAGCTGGATGCCCTGCCCTGGCAGCATGACTCAGACTGCACAACAAGTACGGTGTGCCCAGGATGACATTCCTAGGCCTCTGGCCACCTCAGAGTACAACCCCACACACAAGCCTCTCCAAGCTCTCAGCCCTTACACCATAAACCACGAGCTCTCTGATGGCTCCAGAGAACACCTATGTCTGCCAGCTTGGGCACAGAGCCTGTTCCCAGAGCCCGCAGGCTCAGCCATGGAGGTTGGGGAGTTTTGGGGCCGTGGGAGCCAGCCCTGGTACCTGTATCTGGCAAGGATGCTCTGCACCTGCAGCCAGGAGTCGTCCACAGGCCCCCGTGGGTGTGCTGATGGTGGTCGCATTGACGTAGTTGATGATGCTGACCTCCTCCTTCAGCACACGGTGCATGTGCAGCATCTCATCGCGCCGCTGTGCCTGCTCTGCTGACTCCTTCATCAGCATGTTCTGGTCCCCACGCGAGTACAGGTGGGACAGCAGCTCCGAGAAGATGAACTCCTCCGTCGGAGAGTGGGCAAAGAGGGAAGGAATTTGGGACCTGATGCCTGTGCTGCCCTGGCCTCCCGCCGGTCCTTGCTGGGACTGTGCCCTGAGTATGCCTCTTCAGATGCGGCTTTTACACCACTTGGACTGAAAGATCTGCCTCCCCACTGCCCTTTTCTCACTCAGATAGGGACACTGAGGTCCAGAGGAAAAGTCACTTGTCCAAGGTCACAGATCTGGGAGGGGACCCTGGACCTATCATGCCACCATGACACCTGTCTACTTAGTTTTGTTGTTGTTGTTGTTGTTGATTTTTTTTGGAAATAGGATCTCGCTCTGTTGCTAGGCTGGAGTACAGTGGGCAAAATCACCGCTCACTGCAGCCTCAGCCTCTTGAGCTCAAAGTGATCCTCCAATGTCAGCCTGTCGAGTAGCTAGGACTATAGGCACGTGCCACCACCAAGCCCAGCTATTTTTAAAATTTTTGTGTAGAGACCAGGTCTCACTATGTTGCCCAGGCTGGTCTTGAACTCCAGGGCTCAAGCTATCCTCCCACCATGGCCTCCCAAAGTGCTGGGATTACAGGCATGGGCCACTGACCTCAGTCCCATGTTATATTTCTATAAGACAGCTCTGGTCTGGACCATGCCTCCCTCCCTGAACCTGGTCCCATAGGGCTGGTCGGCATCTCCCCCAGGCCAACATGGCCACCAGCATCTCCAGTGCCACAGGAGGCCCCAGGGGGGCAGTGCATGCACATTGTTGATTATGACGTGCATGATGGTCTTGGGCATGACATCAGCCATGAGGTCCCATACAGTCTTGTTGACAATGGCCATGTAGGAGTCCACCAGGTTCTGGGTGTTTTCCATTTGCCGCTCCAGTTGTGGGTCCATGGAGTCCATGAAGCTGTTGGAGCCATTCTTCTTGGCCTTGCTGTCCTGTCATGGAGAACACAAGGGCATCAGGGTGGCCAGGCCATGCAGCCAGGCTCCAGGAATCCCTAGGATCTCAGCCCCTCCAGGGTACCTGGAACATTGAGACACAGAGAGAAGCAACTGGCCTGAACATGCACCCAGCTCCCCACATGCTGTAGACAGTTTCAGGACTCTACTTCTCAGGACCCCAGACTCCCCCTAATTCAAGTGTCCTCTTAGTTGTGACTCTAGTGCCCAGAATTTGCCTCAAGTTACCAATCCATAAATTGGAAAAGAACATCTCCAGGTCCCTTGCTTGAAGACCTGGTCAGAGCTTGTGCCAGGCTGCAGACGCCTGGCAGGAGGCAAGAAAAAGGCATACTCACTTTCCCCTTGTCCTGGGAGGCCCACACACCAACACTGCCACCCCCGCTGCCACCAGGGAACACAGCAAAGTAGACACACACAGCGAGAAAAATGGGAAGTGTTGGGTGAACCTGGGACACTGCACCCCAACTTTAATGTGTTGTTGAATTCAATTAGCTAATATTTTGTTGAGGATTTTTGCATCAATATTCATCAGTGATACTGGCCTGTAGTTTTCTTTTTTGGATGTATCTTTGGTTTTGGTATCAGGATAATACTAGCCTTATAGAATGAGTTTGGAAGTATTCCCTCTTTCTCTATTTTTGGAATCGTTTGGGTAAGGTTGGTATTAGTTCTTCTTTAAATGTTTGCTAGAATTCAGCAGTGAATCATTAGGTCCCAGGTTTTTCTTTGCTGGGAGACTTTTTATTACTGCTTCGATCCCATTACTTGTTATTGATCTGTTCAGGTTTTGGATTTCATCCTGGTTCAATCTTGGTAGTCTGGATGTGTCCAGAAATTTACCCATTTTTAGTAGGTTTTCCTATTTCTTTACATATGGTTGCTGGTAATAGCCACTAGTGATCTTTGAGTTTTTTTGTTTGTTTGTTTGTTTGGGGTTTTCTTGCTGTTGTTTTGTTTTGTTTTGTTTTGTTTTGAGACTCACTCTATCACCCAGGCTGGAGTGCAGTGGCATGATCTCAGCTCACTGCAAGCTCCACCCCCCAGGTTCATGCCATTCTCCTGCCTCAGCCTCCTAAGTAGCTGGGATTACAGGCGTGCACCAGCACGCCCAGCTAATTTTTGTATTTTTAGTAGAGATGTCATTTCACCATGTTGATCAGGCTGGTCTTGAACTCCTGACCTCGTGAGCTGCCCATCTCGGCCCCCCAAAGTGCTGGGATTACAGGCGTAAGACACCACTCCCGGCCCATATTTTGTTTTTAAATTTTACTTATTTATTTATTTATTTATTTATTTAGAGACAGGATCTCATTCTGTTGCCCAGGCTGGAGTACAGCAGTGCAATCATGATTCACTGTAACCTTAAACACCTAAACTCAAGAGATCCTCCCACCTCAGCCTCATGAGTAGCTGGGACTACAAGCCTGCACCACCACATCTGGCTAATTTTTCTAGTTTTTGTAGAGACAGGGTTTTGCTATGTTGCTGAGGCTGATCTTGAACTCCTGGCCTCAAGCAATCCTCCTACCTTGGCCTCCCAAAGTGCCGGGAGTACAGGCATGTGCCACCATGCCTGGCCTATATACACATTTTCTTTTCTAAGTTATATAAAGTATGCTGCATGCATCCTTCTAGAATTTGTTTTCTTCACTTAATAGTATATTGCTAAGATTCTTATTGTCGTTTATAGCTGGCGTTCATTCTTTTTGACTGCTTGTGACCTCACCAGAAGATAGAGATCCTGAGATCTCTTAAGAACTGCTGCTGGGAGTATACACTGGTACGACCACTTTGGAAAACAGTTTGGCTCCATCTCACAGGGTTGAATATTCACACTCCTCCCAGCCCATCAATTCTACTCTATATCCAAGAGAATTTCTTGCCTATATAAAACAGGGTATGTGGACAAGGGATGTTCCTAACAGCTCTGTTCAAAATAACAAAAACCTTTTGCCCATCAACTGGAGAGTAGGTGACTAAATTTTGCTTTTTATTCCCTTTGATTTCCTGTAGTCTTATGATGCAAGTGGCTTTCCTATGACTAGCCTGGGGAGGGGGATACTCCTGGCAATCTGTGGTGGCAGTCCTACTCAGCCCTAGGGCAATCAGTGCTGACCAAACCAAGAGTAAATAGAACAAGGTGCCCCACTGAGTCAATGCCTTGGGTCCCTGGAGGTTCAGGCTTGTACCTGTAGGAAATAGCCATCATACACATCAGTCTTTTCAAATGCTTCTGTCACTGGGCTGAGTCCAAAGGACACTCTCTCCCAAAACATTACAAAGCTTATTGGGGCTACCATTTATCGAGCATTTATCATGTGCCTGATCATGTACTAATGTACTAATTGCATGCATTATTTTATTATTTTATTTATTTATTTATTCATTTATTTGAGATAGGTTCTCTCTCTGTTGCCTGGACAGTTGTACGATCACAGCTCACTGCAGCCTCAAACTCCTGGGCTCAAGTAGTCTCACCTCAGCCTCCCGAGTAGCTGGGACTACAGGCATAAGCCACGAAGTCCAGCTAATTTTTTAAGAAACATTTTCGTAGAAATATGTCTGGCTTTGTTGCCCAGGCTAGTCTCGAACTCCCGGCTTCAAGCGATCCTCCTCCTTCAGCCTTACTATTGCATTTAATCTTCACCATCACCCTATAAGACTGCCTGGGGGTAGGTGCTCCACACAGTAGCAATGTAGCAACCTCCACCCATAGGTGACAACAAGACTCAGTGTAGTCAAGCAACTTCTCAAAGGCCACACAGCTGGAGGGTAGCTGAGCCAGGATGAAGACCTAGGACTCTAAAGCTGGTATGCCAGTAAATGAGAAAATTTCTGGGGATTCAGGATAGCTTCCTCCCAAGAAATCTTTCTCCAAAAGTTCTAAAAACAATGACAGATCCATCTTTCATAAAGCTAACAAAACTAGCGCCCCTTCATTTTGGCCCGGGGGGGGGTAAAGGTTAGCTAAGTTCCAGGGCTTCCCATTTTAATCCTGCATATTTATAAGGCAACTGCCAGGACAGCACCCCAAACCTGAAGAACCATGCACTGCTATCTCTGTGGGCATGGCGTGTCCATGGATTAAAGATTTTCCAGTGTGTGGTTACAGGCCAGCGGCATTATCCTCAGTCACAGGTTAAAGGGCAGCTAGGCCTGGCCTGCTAGGCACCACCGTGAGAATCCGCTGAGCTTTCCAACTAGTTTATCTGTTGTTTGCAATGAAAGATGCCCTGAAAAGAAGGGGTGTGGGTGGGAAGAGTTCTGATTTGAGGTCCCCTGATCCGGGCATGATCTCCTTCCCCAGTCGCAGGAATCAGCGGACTCCATCTATAAACACAGGCTCAAGCTATGTCCCCCAGCCCCTCTTTCAACCAGGTGCCACCCTCTGCTTCTCTTCCATAAACAGCCTAGAGCTGCCACATTCCCTTAGGATCTGTGCCTTCCGGCCTGGCTTAATTTTTTCCTCTCCAAAGAGCCATCTGTAGGGCCAGACGCCGGCAAAGCCTAACTCATTACTGGATGCCAGTTCCTTTGCCTGACTTTCAGTGATTCCTACCTTACCCTGGGGTTTTATGTTTCTTGTCTCAACTCTAACATTTCTCATTCCTCACAAGTTGAATTGCTCACTCCAGCCAACTGAAGCATGCTCTTCTTGACACAGCTAGCTCTAGGCACATGGTTGGTGCAAAAAAAAAGAAAAAAAAAAAAGAGCATTATGTCAATTTCATTGATCAACAAAAGTGATGGCTCCACTGCAAAGTCAAGTTGATAGTGCCTGGGCCTCTGAGTTCAAGAACTTTCTAGTCAAAAGTCTCTGAGCTGAAATATGAGCATGCACACATGCATCTCTCTCAGTCTGGTGCGATAATTTGGATACTTGGTTATCCCTGAGCATTTTCCTGACTCATTAATGCACATGTAGCCAACACAATAATAATCATAGCTAATAACGGCTAAAGCTGAGGACTTTCCTGAGCCAGGCAGTGGCTTCAAAAACTTTAGTTTTCATGTAGACTCTGATTGAATAATTTCTGTTTTTCAGATCAAGAAACTATCACATTTGGGATTATGTTAAAAAGTAAAAAAAAGAAATTGAGGCTTAAAGCTGTGAAGTATTTCACAGCCAGCAAGTGGCTAAGTTGGAACCTGAACCCAGGCAGTCTAGCCCCGGGATCCTGTGCCCTTATCCATTATCTAGTGTTGGCTACGCAAAACTAGTGTATACACATCTTCAACTATAGTTTAAGCGGATGACATATTTTTCACTATACTTTATGTAAGTGGTTTTCAGTTTGGGGGTATTCTACTTACACAATCTATTCAGCTGGATATTAACTGAGAACAAATAGAAACTAATGAACACTGAAAAACATAAAACATGAGCAACATGATGTCACTGCAAGACAAAACAGCATATACCTTCTTGTGACTGTATTTTGCTGAC